GTATATATATACATATGTACACACACACACACACACACACACACGCACACACACAGATATATATATGTATATATATCCCAATGTCGCCGGGTACGTACGTACGTGCTATGCCCACCGTGAGTACTTGTTTGATTGTTTTTACACATAGATGGCAACACTTTTACTAACTCCCAATGAGCCAGATTGATTTACGAAATATTTTACGTTATCTTATTTTGCTGTTACTAATGTTAAAAAACATTATAAAAATTATAATGTTCATGATAAAACTAACACCCTCGATTTTCATAGCACTAGTGAAAAATACGTTTTTCCCGCCATTTCAAATCAGGCGCTAGCAGAGCCATCTATCGGCAGACATTTCACGAAAAACATAGAAAGTGGGCACAGCATTTTCCCCATTTTTTGTTCATTTTCCCCGGCGGCATTGGGATATATATATGTGTGTGTGTGTATATATATGTATATATGCGTATGATTATGTATGTATGTATGTATATTTATATATATATTTGCATATATATATATATATATTTGCATATATATATATATATATATATATATATATATATATATATTTGCATATATATATATATATGTGCGTGTGTGTGTATGTATATAAATATATATATGTGTATATATGTATGAACATTTATGTATGTATGTATGTAGATATATACATATATACATATATATGTATATATGAATATATAAATATATATATATAGATAGATATATATGTGTGTGTGTGTGTGTATGTGTGTGTGTGTGTGTGTATATGTGTTTATATGTGTATGTGTGTGCGTGTGTGTGTGCGTGTGCGCGCGCGCATGTCAAAGTTAGAAAAATAGAGAAAGACAGACAAACAAAGAAATTAGGGAAAGGAACACTTTAGCTCACTGTCTTACCTTATGTTTTTCTCCCTCGCCAGTAATTGATTCATTCAATATCCAGTTACCAATAATTAATTCATATAATCCTAAATGCACTCACCTTTCTCCTCCCCCGCTTAGGCAGACCAGAAGGAGAGCCCAGGCAGCGACCCAGAATCCGGGGTTACGCCCTTATCCCTGGACAACCTTCAGGGGGGGTTTATCCTGCTGGCTCTCGGCTACGGACTGGGCCTACTGAGTGCCATGGCGGAGGGACTATTTGCTCTCGCTACGAGGCCGTCGGAGAGCTTGGCAAGTCGTTAGGTTAGTGGTGGTTAGGGTGGTGTCTTGATGATTCGTAGTGATGATAGTGATGATAATAATAATAACAATGGAACAACTTCATGTTCCTCCTTCTTAAGCCGTTATCATCACCGGTCGCACTTGCTTTGAATTCCCTTCACTCGGCCACCTTTATACCTTCCTCCTCCTTGATCAAGTCCCTGAAACTCACGCACCCCTACACGCCCCTCCCTCTAAGCTTCAGCCGGATGAATCTCACACTCCAGCGAGCGGAACGAAGCACCTGGCCTCGAGAAAAGCCACCACATATGAAGGGACTTGTCCTCGACCGATACAGGCAGACAAGAGCAGACAGACATGGAGACAGAGACAAAGACAGGCAAGGTCCATCTCGCAACCACCACGTCCTCGAGAAGGGGTCTAGCACGTACCTTCCTTGAAGTGTAATAAACTCGAAAGCTAAAACTCTTTTATTTCCCCGTACTAAGACCACACACCGTCATCCTAGTGTTAATGAGTAATGATAATTATGATAATAGTAATAATTATAAAAATAATGATAGCAGAATAATAACAATGATGTCATTCATAATAATGGTGCTGACAATATTAACAGAAATAATAATAGTAATGGTAATAATAATGCTAATAAAAACAGTAACGATAACAATGGTAATGATGACAACCATAACAAAAACATCAACAAAAAGAATAATGATAATGATCATAGTAATAGTAATGTTGATAAAAATAACAACAATAATGATAGCTGTAGTGTATCCCGAGGTCCATCTGGCTATCAATTATATATACGAGCAAAGCTAATTTTACGAATATATACGAATACCCCCTAAATTGGCGAACTTCAGTTCTCTGTTATAAATTGTATTTCATCATTTTTTTAAAGCGGTAACTATTTTATCTTTTCTTATGCAGTTATATTTTCCTGTATAATGAGCAAATGCACGAACACGTAAATTATTAAGTAGAGAAATAGAAAATGAAAGTTAATTTAAATGAATGAAAATGTAAATAAACGGAAGATCTAATGTGATAACAGGATCAATAAATATATTTGATGAAAATCGAAAACGGAGTTGAAAACGAATGACCGTTTTGACGTAGACTATTATATTCTTAGCGCGTCGGCCCCCACACGACCAGACGACGGCGCTACAATAATAATGATGATCATTTTTTAATGATAATAATAAGAGTCCCCCCTCGGACCTCAGCCCATTTTGCATGCATGGTCTTTTCTTCTCCTCCTTTCCCTTTCGTTCTCTTCTTCATCCACCTATCCTAATCGTTATCCTTTTCGCCAC